CCACAGGGTGCTTTTTATCTTCTTCCAAGTGCTTCACCGTTGTGCCAGCACCATTTATTTAACACCTATCTTTATGTAGCCCCATGATTGGAGAAGCCACTGTCATCCTATTATTAGGACCCTATGTATGAGGGGTTTCTAAAAGGTTCACGGAAAAAGGGGAATTAAAAGATAATGGGAGGGGAAGTGAGACAGCAGCGGTGTAAAATAGGAACGTTAGAGTAATTTATAATTTATCCAGGGGTCATGGGGGGGGAGCTTTAAAATCAATAAAAAGCAAATGTTTAGAAAATAATGATGCAATGTGTACAAATGTGCTTGATACAATTGATGTATGGATTATTATAAGAGCTGTAAGAGTCCCCAATAAAATGATCTTTTAATTTAAAAAAATAAAACGTAATGGGAGAGGGAGGGCGAGTGAGGGTGGGGAGATGGAGCAACGGGCTGGAAGGCTGACAGGCCTTGACTCAGGTGAAGGGCAGGATGGAGGCTCACAGTGGGGGAAGAGAGATCAGGAAGGAATAGAAAAGAGGGGGGGGGCGCCGATGAGTGATTTGTACTGTTGAATGCAGAGTTGATCTGACAAAACCCCACCCCACTTAATTCACAATTAAAAATTTGTGTATGGAAAGGAGAGGAGCTCATGGGGATTTCCCAGGAGCTTTCTGAAGACCCTCCATTTGTCTGTTCTGGCTTCAGTCTCCCACGGGGGTGCCCTGCGATTGGCACAAGTTGGCCTCACGCATGATGCACTCGGTCCCGTGGAGTCAGAATGGAATCCGTGGCAGTGGCTTTGGTTGGTATCACATCATTTCTAGTGGCTTCTGTGTGTTTTAGGAGGAAACAAACAAATGACGCTTCCTACTCTCGTGAAGCGTTCCATGTGCAGTTCGGCTGCGTTCTGCAGGGTCACCGTGAGGCAGTGTCACTCGATGGCAGTGGGTTTGAGCTTTATGTGTATCGTCCCCCCCCCCCATGTTTTCCTTGCTATTCTTGATTGAAGTTTTATTTGGGGGTGAAATTTCATATCACCTTGCTGACACTTTCTATGGCTGTGCAACAGGGCTCTAAGGAGAGAACCCAGCCCCTGGACCTTGGCGCCTTAGACCAGCGGCTCTCAACCTGTGGGTCGCAACCCCTTTGGGGGTGAAACGACCCTTTCACAGGGGTCACCCGATTCATAACAGTAGTAAAATTACAGTTAAAAAGTAGCAACAAAAATAATTTTATGGTTGGGGGTCACCACAACATGAGGAGCTCTATTAAAGGGTCCCTGCCTTAGGAAGGTTGAGAACCACTGCCCTAGGCTCTCATGTGACCTCTAGGCCACTAGCCGGGTTATCTGTGGTAACAAGCTGTGGGATGCAGATGACACAACCTTGTTTACTGAAAGAGAGGAGGGCTTGAAACACTGCAGCCCTCAGTGTGGGTGCAGCTCAATGCAAAGAAAACCAGACGCTCCCCAAATGCAGCAGCGTGACCCACGGAGAAAAGATCGACCTGAAGGGTTTCAGTTTCCTTGCGTCCACTAGCAGTGCCCAACCAGCAGCAGGGAGGCGATCCAACGACGTGCTGCACTGGGCGAGCCTGCTGCCCAGACCTCTTTAAAGTGTTGGAGCAAAGCTGTCACTCCGAGGGCTGAGATGCACCTGCCCCACAGCCCTGGTTGTGAATCCCTCCGGTGCACAGGAACGCCGGAGCAAGAATGAGGACGGCTGACGAGCAATCGATGCCTTTGTGTTAGGGCGTCATCGAATGGCCTGAGGATGGGGGGCGAACTGACCCGCCTGGGGCGAGGCCAGCGAGACCTCATATCACGCGCTCCAGACGTGTCTTCAGGAGGACCAGCCCCTAGAGAAGGACCCTGTGCCTGGTAGAGGGTCAGCAATCTTATTTCTCATGTCTGAGGTCGTCTTGTCTTTCTCTCCATCATCTTCCCCAGCCTCTGCTTGCTCTGTCCCCTGCCACGATCCCACCCTGGGATTTGCGGACTTGCAGCATTCTCTGCCTCCCACCTATGCCACGGGCGGGGCTGTCTGTAAGATGGACTCCTGTCCTCTGCGAAAGAACCGCAGGGACACAGGGAGCTGGGCGAGCCCACAGTTTCCTCGGGCACCTGGAAGGAAGACAGACATTACTGACTTGGTTCAGAGTTCAGTTTTAATCTGCAGGCAGCTTGTAAGGCACTAATGCATCCAAAGTCCATGAGGGGAAGTCTCCCACCCTCGCCCGAGGAACGTCGCTGTACTGCTAAGACTGATGTGCTTAGGGTGTGCCATGAGGAGGGACCAGTCCTGAAGAAGCACCTTGTGCTTGCTGAGGTAGAGGGTCCAGGACAAAGAGGAAGCCCCTCGGGGAGATGGGCTGACCCACGGGCTGCAGCAGTGGCCTCAGACGTGACCATGGTGAGTCTGGCCCCAGGCCGCCATCAGTGTTGCACTCCACGTGCAGGACAGATTCCCCGGCGCCTTCTGATCCCAGCACACAAAGCCATCGGCTTTATGTAAACCCGTTAAGTGAAGGAAAGTCCATTTAGAATATATGAAGTAAACCAGAACCACGCTCGCTGCCGTCGCGTGGACTCAGACCCATGGGGACCCTGTGGCGGGTGGGTTGGAACCACCCCTGTGGGTGTCACGGCAGGAGCAGAAGGCCTCCTTTCTCCCTTGGAGAGGCTGGCTGGCGGTTTAGAACTGCCGGCCGTGAGGTTGGCAGCCTGGGGAACAAAAAAGTTAGCCGTGTGGTCCCTTCAACAGTGCCTGCAACGTAAACAGTTCACGGAAGTCATGACAGTTTGGGGAACACTGGGGTGACGGGAAGTGATTTCGGCTCCAAAGGCGGTCGTCGTGGGCCCCCAGGGTGCTGGGAGGGACTGCTGATGCGGGGTGCTCTCGCCGGTTGCAGGGGTCTTCCGTCTCTGAAACGGGCCCTGAGAACACTGGCCGCCCTGAGACACCCCCGCCTGGGCACGTGGGAGAGTCCTCTCTCCCTTTCCTATCAGAGGGTTGCTTTCGCAGTCCGCCTTCCTTGGTTCGAGTGGAAGCAGCAAAAAGGGCTGCCCCTCCCACAGGTTAGCCGCCTGGCCCGAGTACGCAGCTTCTGAGATAAATGCCACTCATTCGTTCCTCCTCGTCACCAGACAGGGAATTATTCACGTGTGAATTATTCATGCCGCGTGGAGAGCAGGCGTAGCTTGATCTCAGCAAACTCTGTAAATGGAAGTGTGCAGCCAGTCTCTGGAGCAGAATGTGTGGGTTGTGTACACTTTCAATATCAATGAACCAGCCGCGAGAGTTTCAGCCAAAGTTGCTTAAAATGACAATTTTAAATCTATAAGTAAATATCAGACAGCGCCAGAAATAATGAGGTTAAATGTGATGGATCATGGCTCTTCCTGAAACCGTGGTGCTGGTGCTGACAGGCGTCTGCCCCCCGCCCCCACCCCCACCCCATCCCCGGACTGTAAGATTTCCAGCCCTACAGGTCTCCGTATGTGCAGCCAACGTTTCTGGACGGTGCTGGAATAAGCCAGTGGAGAAGTGAGTGTCATGAGGCCGACTAACGCGAGCTTCCTTGTGTTTCAGAAACGGGCGTGCCGGCGAGCAGAGGCTCCTGTGCCCAGGTGGGACTGCGGCCCGCCACGCGGGAGAACCAGGGAGCCCCAGGATCCAGGCCAGGTGGCCCCTCCACCCAGCAGCCCCCTGCCTGCCCGAGAGCCTGAGAATGGCCAGGCGAGAGCGGCCCCGTGGGTACGTCCTCGCTCACCACCCCGCGGCGATTTCTCCCGGCTGAGGGAAGGCCTGTGGGTCTGACATGCTGTGGCTCTGCTTTGTCACGCAGAGCCCCCGGAGCCGAGGACCGAGCCCGGCCCAGCCCTGCCCACGCTGCATTGCCGGGGAGTCTGTAAGTGCATCAGCCTTCCTTCGGGACGTTCCAGACAGACTGGTCCTAAATATCAGATCCCTAAGGCAAAGTCCATGGAAGCTGCACTGACGTTTCTGAGCAGCGAGGGCGAGGGCCGTGAGCAAGCACAGCCCCTGATTCAGGCCGTGCACGCGCAGTGTCTCAGCTAGACCAGCATGGAAGCTGCACTGACGTTTCTGAGCAGCGAGGGCGAGGGCCGTGAGTAAGCACGGCCCCTGATTCAGGCCGTGCACGTCCAGTGTCTCAGCTAGACCAGCATGGAAGCTGTCGGTGTACATGCACTGCGTTCCGCAAGGCGGGGCCAGGTGACGGGCAGAGGCCACCCTCAGGGTGGGAGGGAACAAGGACTTCACTAAGTAAGGCACCTGGGGGGCATGCTGCTTTCTCCCCCTGTGAGCCCCTCCCCCGCTGCTCCCTCCTTCCCGTCAACCGCAGGGAGTGCCACACCATCTTCCCAGGGAAGTGGACTGGGAACCTGCCTGAGCGATTGTCCCCTGGGCCAGGCAGGGATCAGGAGCACACTAGTGTTATCACTCCCTCCTCAGCAACGCTCCCCGCAGTCCCAGACCGGTTGACGTGTCTTTGCCTCCACCATTCTTGGAGGTTGGTGGCTTTGTATCAAACTCAGAATCTTAATACTGCAGTTATATGGAATTGCACTTGAATGTCATGTAGAAACTGGACATTTTCCTCTCCCTTTTTCTAGGTGAGTATTTCTGAGAGTGTTTTGTTCTGGTTCGGATGGGCAGCAGACACGGCGATGGATTAGGCAGGTGCCCGTCTGGCTGGCCCAGACGTCTGGCGTCCAGTGGTGGGGCTGGCTTCCGTTTCCACCCAGGCCCAAACTGATGACGCAGGCGACCCACCAGCTATCTGAAGTCCTCAGGCAGGTGTGACGACAGAGCTCAGCGTGGAGCCCCTCCGTGCTGGTGCTGCTTGTACCCGGGTGGCAGCGGTGAGAGGTGTGGCAGCATGGGGGGGCAGTGAGAGGAAAAGAGGATGGTGACAGGGGTGGGGTGGGGCGTGGAACAGCCTGGAGCAGTTGTGGTGGTGAGTTGGTTTCAGGCTGGGCAGGGAAGGCTGGGTGGCACAGGCAGGTGCAGGGTGAACAGAATTGGGCAGTTGTCAAACCCACCCTGGAATGCAAGTCAGTAACATTTAGTCTGAACGCCAGCACCCCACGATGATGGCCTTCTCTGTAAGATGCCCTCCTGGTCCCCCGCCCCTCTCTCCCCACCCCTTCCCTGCACACACGCGCATGTGCACACATGCACACACCTGTCTGCAGCAAACCCGTGGAAGGTCAGACTGAGTCTGGCACAGAGCTCCCATCTGGCGCGTTTGGCGCCTGTGGCTGATCGGCTCGTTTGGGCTGATCTCTGTTTGATGGGGAGATCCCAGATTGATATGTAAACGTAGCACCTTTGTGCCTCAGCTTCTTTTCATCTAAATTTCAGAAACTGACTTTCAGAACCAGTTTCCCTTTATTTGTCGTTATCCTTGATAAGATTCCACTCGGCTGGGGCGTTTTAATATTGACACCCACTCTTTCTGCTAGTCCTGTGCAAACACGGCACGGCTTGCCTCTGCTGTTTGATTGGACTCCCCCGCACAGATTCCCCTACGTAATGCGCACCGTTTCTCCTAAGCCGCCCAAGTCATAAGGCGCTCACTATTTTTGTATGCTAAAACACCAAGAGGGTCGGAGTTAAATAAAAAGCAAATAGTATTTTTAGAAAATGCAGGATCCCAGGGAGAAGAGATTTAGCGGTGAATTGCCGACAGGCAGTCCTTCCGAATTCCCGAAGACTTCATTACACAGGAGGAGCATCCACCGTGTAGGCCCCCTCCGCCCTCAGAGGGGCCAGGGCCTCGCCCGAGTGCCTGGGGGGCCTTCCCATGCCCCTCCTCTGCCTCCCTGCCCTCTGCCTCTCACGGGATTGACTTGGGCAAGTGGTGCATTCTCCTCCCACAGCTCCTGCGCATTCCTGCTGACTCCCAGGGCCGTCCTCACCAGGCACCCCTTCCCTCTGTGTCCATCCTCTCCCCCTCCTGTCCCGGGCGAGTGCTGCCCCGCGGTCTCCCCGGGGGAGACTGCTCTCCCCGTGCTGGCCATTGGGCCAAGCGCTGGCTTCAAGCGCGAAGCCAGGGCGACTCGGAGCTGTGGCCTGGCCGTCTCCTTCAGACCAGTGAGGCTGCTCTGTCCGCAGAACTTCCCTGTTGTCCCGCACCACCCCACACGCCCCACTGTAGGACGGCCTGCCTGTCAGGGCAGTCCCCCTTGTGGCCAGACCCCGGCCATTTCCTACACACATTTGTTTCCGTTGTTCTGTGCTCTCATAAGCTGGCCCCAGGAGCCCTCCGTTCACAGCTCTGCCGTTCAGGTTCCATGGTCGCTGCCACGTTCCTTGTGGGCTCCGTGTGGCGTCCTCCCAGCCTCTGCTGCTCACTGTCTTGCCGGAACTGCTGTGCCTTCCACTGCACACATGGCTGGAGACCCAGCTGGGCCCTGCCGGGGAGTGGGCTTCCTCTGGCACTGTGGTCGAGTGGTAGCCAGCTGTGGCACGAAGGTGTGTTCCCCGGGTGTGGGAAACAGGTTATTCCCCGGGGTGTTCCACGGACGCACACCCCCCATATTATGTGCCAAACCTAAGGTGCTGCTTGCTGTCTCATGGCCAGTGAGCATACACTTGGAGGCCGTCTGTTTGAAGGTTGTCTCCCTGAGGGTTCTCGGCCATCTAGAGCAATCAGACCCTAGTCTCCCTTCTGATAAGGATAGCGGACTGTTCCCCTGAAGGAGAGCCCAAAGACAGGTTACGCTGCCATCTTGTCACTTGCATGCCCCTAGTGCCTCCCCTTCCTAGTGCGTGTACACCCCTGACGCGTCCCCCTCCGGTCGAACGTGTGCCTAGTGTACAGCCCCTTCCTGCTACACGTGGTTACCTGTAATTGGAGGGCTTGCACGCCCCCTGAGTGTACACAAGCCCTGAACGGAAATCTGTCTTCTCTGGGCTGAGATCACGTGGTCTCGGAGGTGAGCATTTGCGTGCTTCATCTGATCTGACGTCTCTCATTTTACCCTTCAGTTACACAACCGCCCGCGGACCCATTCGTTTGGGGGGCTGATACCGCACACCTGGGTGCAGATGGCCCCACGGTCACAGTGAATTCGGCACCAGGATTTCGGGGTAGGCTGACCCTCGGCCCGCCTGCTAGAGTACAGCGTGTGAGGTGTGTGGTGAGAGCACCCTGGAAGTCTGACTGTGGCGAGATTGCCCAGCGCGGAGCACAGACGTGGACTGAGCACCCGCTGCTGGGACATGCTCCCAGCCTGATTCTTGTGGGGAGGAAATCCCAGTCAGATTTCAGTGGGTCAGCGTGGCGGTCAGCATGATAGTGGCCCTGTGCTCTCAGGGTTGTCCTCCTACATCTCTACACACCCCACACCCCTGCTTTGCATGGTTGTCAGCTCTGTTTCTGGGTAACAGCCAGCGTGAGACCTTACAAGGGCCCAGAGCTGGAGCACTAGGAGAGCAGAGAGAATAGGGGTGTGGGGGGTGTCACCTCCCCTTTGCTGAGGGTGCGTCTTGGCCCCTCCCTCAAGGTCCCAGCTCCTGTGAGCAGTCCCACCGTGGCCTCCCCTCTGCCCCCCACCCTGGAGGTGCGCAGGCCGGCCCCCTCTCCCGCCTGTGTCATTAACGCCTGTCTTCAGTTCTCCACTTGAAAGACCTAGCCTGGTCTCTGGTTACTGACCTCGGCTGGGCGGTGGATGAAGGAACATCATGGGGTGGGGGGGGGCATGGCTGCCACACGTGGCCCTCTGGGTCAGTTCCCCACCGCCAGGGCCCAGGCATTTCCTCCAGCACCCCAGCTGCAGGCCTGCAGGGAACCAAAGCATTGCCATCAGGTCCATGCCCGCGTGACGGGGACGAGGGGACCCGCCCACAGGCTTTCCTAGGCCGACATTACGGAAACAGTGCTCCACACCTCTCCTGCTGTGGCGCCGGCCACAGTCCCCTCACTCCCCATGCCTGGGGTTGTTGCCTCCAGGGCCCACGTTGGTAGTGAGTTGCCCCTTGCATACCAGTTGCGAGGCACAACGTTGGTGTGTATTGTGGGCTCCCCTCCCCAGACCCTGTGGACAGGCCTCGCTTCATATGCTTCCTTCTGCACGGTGCAGCCAAGGGTCTTTCACAGGCTGGAGGACTGGCCATCGAGGCCCTGTGCGCCATTCCCCCACAGCCTGTGTGTCCCCATGCCACTTGGTCACTCGCAGTATTTCAGATGTGCACCCTGCTGGTGCACACATCCCAGGCTTTGGTACAGTGTCGGTACCCACTCCGTGCCCACAGGGCTCCCTTGGTGAGGCCGCAGGCACTGCAATGCCGTCTGGAACCCAACCTCCAGGGTCACCAAGTTCTCGGTAGAGTTGTCACTCTTGTTTTTGTTTGTCTGCATGCTGAGGTGGTCTGACCCACCATTGCTTGGGGGTAGGGTCAGGAGGTGAGCAGTGGGGAAGCAGGGAGGGTGGTGGGGGCAGAACAAGTTGGCCAGACCAGCTGCCAATTCAGGGACAGCCTGCAGGAGGAGTGAGAGCCTTAATGGGCAGCATGTTCTTTAAGCTGCATCTCACTTCCAAGTGGGTGGCCTTTAAAGCCGTGTGCGGGGACCGTCTGTCAACAGGCCGTGGGGCCCAGACTGATGGGCAGCGGTCTGCAGAGATGCGCAGGCAGTGTCTGCCATCTCATCTCAAACACACGGTGTTTGCATGGATGTGTGTGCCAGAAGGCGGGGTTACGGAGTGAGCCTGGTGCCTCAGCCTGGCGCTGGTGGGCCAGGGGGCTCTGGGGAGTAGGCAGAACAACAAAAAGCAAACTTCCTCCCACAGGGTGAAACCGTTAGGCTGCGAGGAGGTGGCGAGATGGATTTCACAGAAGTACGCACTCTAAAGAAAAGTGCAGTGGAGACGTCCTGCAAACGTGTGACAACAAGCGAATGGAGTCGCGTCCCTGACTGGCCCAAACAGATGTCCAGACCCTAACCAGACTCATTTCAGCGAGTCCACGCTGGCCCCTGGCAGCCCGACAGGACAGGAGGTCTGCCCCGTGGGTTTCCAAGACTATGCATAGTTATAGGAGTAGAAAGCCTCATCTTTCTTCCACAGAGCGGTTGGTGCTTTAGAACTGTTGACCTTGTGGTTGTCAGCCTGCTGTGTGACCCACTACACCATCAGGGGTCCTAGATGAAAAGGTAAAAAGATTGTTGAGCCAGACACCAAGTGCAGGGGAAGCACAACCAGAGCAATCGGTGCAATCTGTTGTGGCCGGAGAACGGGCCCAGGGGTTGGAGGGTCGAACCAGAGCGTCCACAGAGAGAAGAGAAGTGGCCTTGACCCCATGAGATTTAGACTGAAAAACCGAAAACTGAATCATTGCACAAGTAGAACTCTTCCTCTTTCTCTCGGGGAGCGGCTGGTACTTTCGAACTGCTGACCTTGTGGTTGGCAGCCCAACTCGAGCCCACTGTGTCACCAGGGCTCCTCCCAGGGTCTGAACGATCTTATTCAAAGAGGGTGGAAAAGTAGACCCCCAGGAGATGCACAGGTGTGGCCCTCACGTTCCTGTCTGTACGTTACAGGACCCAAAAGCCGACTCATTGCCGTCAAGATTCTGACAGCCTGGATAGTGGCAAATGCAGAATGACCGTGTGGGCAAGCTTCCACCAACCCGAGCATGCAGGACCCAGAGCTCGAAGAACCTCCCACTAGCGCTAAGGTCACAGCCTAAACATGTGAAACACACGTGAACCCCATGAGCAGGTGGACGTGAGTGACCAGTAGAGTGTGAACTAAGGATCTGAAGCCAGGGGAAGACGTGAAGGGCATTGTCAAGTTTGTTCAACATCATGAAACTCACCCCCGAGGAAGCAGAACCCAGAGAGGCACCGACTCCACTGCCATCTGGTGCGACTTCCCCAGATCGAGGCTCTGGAAGCGGAGTGCCTCATCTTTCCCCCGCAGGTCGGCTGGGGTTTAAACTGAAAGCTTTGCAGATCGCAGCCCAGAGGACATTGAAAACATGGGAAGGTTAAAAAAAAGAAACCTCCTCTCAGAGTGGCTCACATGGTCATGAAGGCTAACATAGATCCCAGCCAGACACCGTGGGAGACAGACTCGGCGAATCAGAAGACGACTGGAGAAATCATTCGAAACAGCAGGAGAGAACGACGGGGAGTGTGTAACCAGTGTCGGGCGGGGAGAGAAGGAATTGAGGGAGGGGCAGAGGAACACCTGAGCAAGTAATGGCTGAGAGGCTTCCTGAGTTGTTCAAAGGCAAGTTGAAGGTACACCTCTTTCAAGTGAGGGAAATCACCAGCTGTCAAGATCCATTACAAAGCGAGGCCAGTTTAAACTTTTACTGCCCCAGGGATAGACAAAACCCATGAAATATCACCCAAATCACTAAAGTTCGTGTGTGTGTGTGTGTGTGTGTGTGTGTGTGTGTGTGTAATTTAGTTAGTGCAGCTCATTCAGAATATATACTGTGTAACATGCTATCATGCAAAAATCCGTTTTTAGAGCTGGAGGAAAAGTTGCATATACAAAATAAAA